TGTAGCTGCTGACTTTTAAAAAAACAGCCACTTGCCTGTCCCACGATCCCGCGTTGCCCCCGCCGTAGCCCGTTTCACCAGCCATCATGTATTCCAGGCGCCGGCATCTTCAGTGTGGGCACCTGGCTGTGACAGCTTGCGGCTTCACAGCCGGGTGCCCACTGCGCATGCGCGAGTAGCGCTGCACTTCCTGACTGGCTCCGTCATCTTCTGGGACCTGCCGTGTCCCACAAGACTTCGGGGAGGGAAGGAGGACAACTTCTGCTTCTGATCGTCTAGGACCCTAGGTGATCGCAGCTGAAGTGGGAGCAGGTACCTGTCAAATCTGTGTACCCGTTTCCCCCCGCTCTCCAAAGGTGCCAATCCTTAATGGGGAGCGGGGGACCAATCTTTAAAGCAGAACTTCCCCTTTTGGGTGGAACTCCGCTTGAAGGAGAACAAGCTGGGGGCTATAGTGGAACTCGGAAGGAGAGTGATTGATGGCTGCAGGACAGATAAGGCAGAGTTGAAGTGGCTGGAATGGAGGAGTAGGGGAAGCCATACCTTGTGCAGTAATATGAGGGAGAATGCCAGTTTCTCCTTTCAGGCATGAGCAGTGGCAGACGCTCCCAGTGTGCCCCGCTCACCATAGACTGACAGCGTCCAGTGTAGGTGCCCCTTCTGCCCACCTCTTGTACCGGCCCTGCCTCCTACAGTTGGGTGATTGTTGGGATACAGTAGTTTCTGTCCTCTCAGGCCTTCATTGACAGGTAAGAGGGTAAATTTGTCTGACAAATTATTAGTTTATCTTCATAACCTTCAAATGATTCATATTAATGTTCCCCACCGTCACAGCATAATGTTTCCTTATAGTCAGAAAATTGATTTTTCTGCTCAGTGTCATTGGTTGTTAAGGTGCTGGCAGCCGCCCCGGCCTCGCCATGGAATCGAATGACGCAAATATAGAATGAGTTGCTGTGATCTGGGTAAAATCTTGTAGTTTGGAGACCCCTGATTTAATGGATTAGATGCTGAAAATGATTATTGAATTAAAAATCATCACAAATTTTGCCTGCATCAATCCGACAAAGCTTCCTCTAAGTGTGAAATCATTGAAATAATGATTTGAAAAATTGTTCATTAAATGATGGAAAATTTTCAGCCATCCATATATATAAAACAATGGTTGAAAAAAAAAAAAATATATATATATAGAGAGAGAGAACTAGCATCAAGGGTAGAGCTTTAACCAATTCAATACCGGGCAATTTTACACCTTCCTGCCCAGGCCAGTTTTCAGGTTTCAGCGCTCTCACACTGAATGACAATTGCGCGGTCATACAACATTGTACCCAAAGTATACTTTTATCCTTTTCTTCACACAACTAGAGCTTTCTTTTGGTGGTATTTAATCACCGCTGGGGTTTTTATTTTTTGCTAAATTAACAAAAAAAGACCAAAAATTTTGAAAAAAACACGATTTTCTTTGTTTCTGTTATAAAAGTTTGCAAATAAATAATTGTTCTTCATAAATTTAGGCCGAGATGTATTCTGCTACATGTCTTTGCTCAAAATAACCCAAATTAGGATTTTTTTTTTTTAGTTTGTAGGAAAGTTATAGAGTTCACAAACTATGGTATAGATCTGAATATTGATCAATCCTGAAGTACTGACAGCCAATCTAATTTCTTGAAGTCCAAGAATGTCAGAACAGTACAGATATCCCCAAATGACCCCTTTTTGCAGAGTAGACAGTCCGACGTACTTCATAAGAGGAATTTGTGGTTGTATTTGTATTTGAAGTTGTATTTTTTTTGTCATAATTTTTCAGAAAATGAAAAAATTAAAAAAATTAGTTTTCACTATTTTTTTTTTTTTACATATTGTCACCAGTGCAGTACAGCATCATCATATAACTGGCATGGCGGTGATCAGGGACACTGACTGGTGACAATGGTGAGAAAAAAAAAAAAATATTTTTTTTTATTAAATTTTTTTTCTTTTTTTTTTTTTAAGATTTTTTTTTTCATATTTCACTATGACCAAAGTAGTACAATGTTACCATAGTAACATTGTACTACTTTGGGGAAGTGATCAGTATTTTTTTTTTTTTTTTACACAATTTGCTTATAGCAAATAATTACTTTGCTATAAGCAAGCATTTACCTGAATTACATCGATTCATTCAGGGTTTTTTTTTTTTTTTTGTGCTTAGCTGTGATTTCGCCACAGCTAATCACATGACATGTGCATGTGATTAGCTGTGACCATTCACAGCTAGGCAGTAGTATACAATGGATGGCATGAATGAAGCCATCCATTGTATACAACTGTCATGTGACCTGCTGTGTGATTGGTCACAGCAGGTCACATGGTACCGGCAACAGGGGCCAACACTCAGATCTGTCATCGGCCGTTTCCGAGGGACACGGCCGGTGACAGATCGCGCCGCGAGGCTCTGCAGGAGCGCAATCTGCGCATGTGCGGGGGAGGACGCCATATGGCATCTACCCATAACGCTGATGACATTTGCCGGCCACCATGCGGCCATAGGGCGGGCGGGCGGCAAATGGTTATAGTACAATGCCCACTCGCTCTCTTGTTTTTAAGGGTCATTTTTGCACAATTTTATTTAAAAGAAAGTTCCATAAATCCAACGCATATATTTCCCTCACAGGGGTTTTCAGCATTTCTCTCTTCCAAACACAGGCTTTTAGCTTCCTTGCTTCTACATCAGGGGCGGACTGACAACTCATGGGACCCCCAGGCAATAGGGGATCATAGGGGCCCCTGTGTACCAGGGGCATCTCAAGGGGGCCCCCTACTGACCCCGGGCCCTCAGGCAGTGCCCGAGTTTCCAAATGGTCAGTCCACCCCTGTTCTACATACAATCCTGTTGCTTTTGGCCTTCCACTTGAGGCCACATCTGTCTCCTGCAGATTCTTTTCTAAATGGCTCTTTCAGATACACATATATTACACAAACACACACACGATAAATGAGTACACCCCTTTTAAACTGAGTTTAATAGAACATTTGTTTGCATATTACATGAAAGAAAGGTTACTAATATTTTAATTACAAAATCTTCAGTGTTATTCAAATTAGTTGATGCAAAAATGAATACACCCCACAACAAAAACTACCACATCTAGTATTTTATATGACCTCCATGATTTGTAAGGACAGCACCAAGTCTTCTAGGCATGGGATGGACAAGTTGGCGACATTTTGCAACATCTTTTTCCATTCTTCATGAACGACCTCTTTTAGAGCCTGGATGCTGGGAGAGTGATGCTCAACTTGTCTCTTCAGAATTCCCCATAGGTGTTCGATTGGGTTCAGATCAGGAGGACATACTTGGCCACTGGATCACTTTCACCCTGTTCTTCTTCAGAAATGCAAAAGTGGCCTTAGATGTGTGTTTTGGATTGTTCTCATATTGGAAAAGTGAAGGACGACCAAGAGCATGGAGTGATGGTAACATCTTCTCTTTCAATATAGAGCAGTACATCTGTGAATTCTTGATACCATCAATGAAATGCAGCTCACCGACACCAGCAGTACTCAGAAGGACACTGCCACCACCATGTTTCACTGTAGGCACCATGCATTTTTCTTTGTACTCCTCACCTTTGCAATGCCATACAGTTTTGAAGCCATCAGTTCCAAAAACATTTATCTTGGTCTCATCACTGCAGAGTACAGAGTCCCAGTAGTCCTCCTCTACTTTTTTTTAGCATTGGCCCTCGCAAATTCTAGAAGGGCCTTTTGTGCATGGGCTTTAAGAGAGGCTTCCTTCTTGGATGGCACCCATGCATGCCATTCTTCTGCAGTGTATGCTGTACTGTCACGGGAAACAATCGCCCCACTTTGGCTTTCTACTTCTTTAGCTAACTGCAGTGAACTTGCATGGCGATTCTCTTCAACCCTTCTCATCAGAAGACGCTCCTGTTAAGGTGTTCACTTCCGTGGATGTCCTGGCTGTCTCTGTGAGATGGTTGCAGTTCCATCTTTGTTACATTTTTGTATCACTTTTGCTACAGTCTCTGATACGTAAAGCTTTGCTGATCTTCTTATAGCCTTCACCATTCTTGTGTAAAGAAATTATTTTCTTTCTCAGGCCTTGTGACATTTCTCTTTCATGTGGTGCCATTACTGACAGCATGAAATGGGAAGGGGTTTTGTTGGACGGTCTGTTGGACACCTGTTTAATGAATAATTAGACTCACCTGTAGTTGAATTCTTGTTAATTAGGATTTTATTGTGTAAATTTTAGCTTTGCTCCAAAGACTTTCATTGGGGTGTATTAATTTTTGCAAAATGATCTTGAATGCATTTGTTCGGAAAAATACTTTTCTGTGTGCAAATTAACAAATCTTGTTAGCAATCAATGGCTGCATTTGTGGGAGTATTTTGTAGCATAGTGTCCCATAGAAAATGTTGATTCTGAAAGGAAAGTGAAGGTTTCATGATAAATCTGTTCGGGTGTACTCACCTATGCTGAGGTGTGTTTGTGTATATACCGATCTATCTATATATACATAATCTCTAGAAAAGATCAAATGTATTTTTAAAGAACACAATGCATTTTTTTTATAATCTTCACAACAGCAGATCTGTGGAGATTCTTGGGAAGGAATCCCTCAAGCAGTCGTCTGTCCTAGGACGGATTCAACGCCAAGGACCAATCTCCTCTCTCCCTCAACAAAGATGGCCACTCGGATCCTTTCTCAGAGTCACGAGTCGCTCCAACCCACCAGCAGGCTTGTAGTTCGGTCCAGCTGTCATTCAACCGGGCCCCCTCCTCCTATCACGTGTCCCCGCGGCTATCTCTCCTCCCCCTGAGCCTCGGTGGAGTCCGTCCCCAGCCTGCAAGTGACCGTCTCAGCCATGATGGTGAGCGGCGGAGGGGAGGGCGGGGGATTGGCGCCTCTGCAGGGCATAGTGCTGGCTGTGGGGGCCGGGGGCGCCTGCGGAGAGCCATCGGGGGTAACAGTGTATGTTTTGTTGTCTCTTTGCAGCAGGAAGGCCTGGATGACGGACCCGACTTCCTGTCAGAGGAGGACAGAGCGGTAAGTGGCCATATACCCTTCTCATGGCTGATTGACACCTCTCAGGGCATAGCTGTACCCGTGTATGGCAGACAGCATGGGGAGATCCCATATCCAGATGTGCAGCTCATAGATGCTCCCCCTGGCAGAGACAGACTGCTTCCCATCCATTGATCATCCTGGCATAGGCTGCCACTTATTCACTGATCCCCCTGTCATCTAGTGCCCCTTATTCACTGATCCCCCTGTCATCTAGTGCCCCTTATTCGCTGATCCCCCTGTCATCTAGTGCCCCTTATTCGCTGATCCCCCTGTCATCTAGTGCCCCTTATTTGCTGATCCCCCTGTCATCTAGTGCCCCTTCTTCGCTGATCCCCTGTCATCTAGTGCCCCTTCTTCGCTGATCCCCCTGTCATCTAGTTCCCCTTCTTCGCTGATCCCCCTGTCATCTAGTTCCCCTTCTTCGCTGATCCCCCTGTCATCTAGTGCCCCTTCTTCGCTGATCCCCCTGTCATCTAGTGCCCCTTCTTCGCTGATCCCCCTGTCATCTAGTTCCCCTTCTTCTCTGATCCCCTGTCATCTAGTTCCCCTTCTTCTCTGATCCCCTGTCATCTACTAACCCTTCTTCGCTGATCCCCTGTCATCTACTAACCCTTCTTCGCTGATCCCCCTGTCATCTAGTGCCCCTTCTTCGCTGATCCCCTGTCATCTAGTGCCCCTTCTTCGCTGATCCCCCTGTCATCTACTAACCCTTCTTCGCTGATCCCCCTGTCATCTACTAACCCTTCTTCGCTGATCCCCCTGTCATCTATAACCCTTCTTCGCTGATCCCCCTGTCATCTAGTGCCCCTTCTTCGCTGATCCCCCTGTCATCTAGTGCCCCTTCTTCACTGATCCCCCTGTCATCTAGTGCCCCTTCTTCGCTGATCCCCTGTCATCGACTGACCATTCTTTGCTGATCGCCCTGTCATCTAGTGCCCCTTCTTTGCTGATCGCCCTGTCATCTAGTGCCCCTTCTTTGCTGATCGCCCTGTCATCTAGTGCCCCTTCTTTGCTGATCGCCCTGTCATCTAGTGCCCCTTCTTTGCTGATCGCCCTGTCATCTAGTGCCCCTTATTCGCTGATTACCCAACTCCGTCATGGACTGCCCCTTATTCACTGATTCCCCACCCCCGTCACGGACTGCCCCTTATTCACTGATTTCATCCCCCCCGTCATAGACTGCCCCTTATTCATTGATTTCATCCCCCCCGTCATAGACTGCCCCTTATTCAGTGATTTCATCCCCCCCGTCATAGACTGCCCCTTATTCAGTGATTTCATCCCCCCCGTCATAGACTGCCCCTTATTCAGTGATTTCATCCCCCCCGTCATAGACTGCCCCTTATTCAGTGATTTCATCCCCCCCGTCATAGACTGCCCCTTATTCAGTGATTTCATCCCCCCCCGTCATAGACTGCCCCTTATTCAGTGATTTCATCCCCCCCGTCATAGACTGCCCCTTATTCAGTGATTTCATCCCCCCCGTCATAGACTGCCCCTTATTCAGTGATTTCATCCCCCCCGTCATAGACTGCCCCTTATTCAGTGATTTCATCCCCCCCGTCATAGACTGCCCCTTATTCAGTGATTTCATCCCCCCCGTCATAGACTGCCCCTTATTGAGTGATTTCATCCCCCCCGTCATAGACTGCCCCTTATTGAGTGATTTCATCCCCCCCGTCATAGACTGCCCCTTATTCAGTGATTTCATCCCCCCCCCGTCATAGACTACCCCTTATTCAGTGATTTCATCCCCCCCCCCGTCATAGACTGCAACCTATAGAGTGATTTCATCCCCCCCGTCATAGACTGCCCCTTATTGAGTGATTTCATCCCCCCCGTCATAGACTGCCCCTTATTGAGTGATTTCATCCCCCCCGTCATAGACTGCCCCTTATTGAGTGATTTCATCCCCCCCGTCATAGACTACCCCTTATTCAGTGATTTCATCCCCCCCCCCGTCATAGACTGCAACCTATAGAGTGATTTCATCCCCCCCGTCATAGACTGCCCCTTATTGAGTGATTTCATCCCCCCCGTCATAGACTGCCCCTTATTGAGTGATTTCATCCCCTCCGTCATAGACTGCCCCTTATTGAGTGATTTCATGCCCTCGTCATAGACTGCCCCTTATTGAGTGATTTCATGCCCTCGTCATAGACTGCCCCTTATTGAGTGATTTCATGCCCTCGTCATAGACTGCCCCTTATGCAGTGATTTCATGCCCTCGTCATAGACTGCCCCTTATGCAGTGATTTCATGCCCTCGTCATAGACTGCCCCTTATGCAGTGATTTCATGCCCTCGTCATAGACTGCCCCTTATGCAGTTATTTCATCCCCTCGTCATAGACTGCCCCTTATGCAGTGATTCCCCACCCCCGTCATAGACTGCCCCTTGTTCACTGATTTCATCCTCCCATCATAGACTGCCCCTTATTCACTGATTTCATCCCCCCCCTCCATCATAGACTGCCCCTTATTCACTGATTTCATCCCCCCCCCCCCCCCCCCCCCCCCGTCATAGTCTGCGCCTTATTCACTGTTCCCCCGCCAACCCCCCCCCCCCCGCCGTAGTCTGCTCCTTATTCACTGATTTCCCAGCCATCCACAGGGACTGCTATAGGTGACACTACACAAAGCTATATTGACAACTCATAAAGGCAACTATTACAGTACATTTTATACAATTGGTTGATTTGTGTGATACACAAGATACAATGTCTGGTAATATATAATCAGTCCAGATAGTAAAAAAGTCTCGCGCATGTGATATCGCCATACTCGGGAGTAGCAGAATGTGTTTTGGGGTGTTATTTTTAAGTATGCCATCCTGTGTGTGTGAGAAATATCTTATTACATTGACAACTTTGTGTGTAAAAAAAAAAAAAAAAAAAATTAAATTTTTTGCGTTTTCCAAACCATGACTCCTAAAAAAAAAAATAATATACACAGTGGGGTGTTTGCTTTCCAAAATGTGGTCATTTGTGTGTGTTTCTGCTGTTCCAGTGCTCCAGGGCCTCCAAAAATGTTATAGGTAGTCAGGAAATAGATGTGTAATTTTTCCCCTAGAATGCCTGAAGGTGCTCTTTGGATTGTGGGCCCCTCTATGTGGCTAGGCTGTGAAATAGTCTCATGTGTGGTATCGCCATACTCAGGAGTAGCAGAATGTGTTTTAGGGTGTAATTGTAAGTATGCATATGCAGTGTGTTAGAAATATCTTTTAATTGACAACTTATTGTTTAAAAAAAAAAAAAAAAAAAAAATCATTTTCTTTCCTGCATGTTCCAAAAATGTTTGTCAAAAAATTACTTGCTATGCCTTTCAGAAAATACCTTGGAGTGTTGGCTTTCCAAAATGGGGTCATTTTTGGGTTTTTCCCCTGTCCTGGTTATCTAAGGCCTCCAAAAATGTGGCGGGTAATCAAGAAATTTAGATGCGTAATTTATGCTCCTCAATAGCCCAAAACATGCTCCTTGGATTTTGGACCCCTCTTTGCATTTAGGCTGTAAAAAAAATCTGACATGTGGTATCCCCATACTCGGGAGACATATGAGAATGTTTTTTGGGGTGTAATTATAAATATGTTTATGCTTTGTGGGATAAATAACTTTCTCCTCTTACTCAATAACTTGGACTGTCTACTTTCCAAACGGGTTATTTGTGGAGTATTTGCACTTTTCTTGTATTTTGGGGCGTCATGAAATGAGGTGGCAGAGAGAGGCAGTCTTATGCCTAGCATAAACGGCCCCTTCTTCACGGATTCCCACCTGGCATAGGCTGCCTCCCATCCATTGATCCCCCATTGACATAGGCTGCCTTCCATCCATTGATTGTCCCCCCTCCCCCCCTTGACATATCCGTTGATACCCCCTCTTTGACATGGGCTGCCTCGCATCCAATGATCCCCTCTTTGACATGGGCTGCCTTGCATCCATTGATCCCCCCCTTTTGATATGGGCTGGCTCGCATCCATTGATCCCCCCTTTTGATATGGGCTTCCTCGCATCCATTGATCCCCCCCCCCCCCCCCTCTTGACATGGGCTGCCTCGCATCCATTGATTCCCCCCCCCCCCCCCCCCTCTTGACATGGGCTGCCTCGCATCCATTGATTCCCCCCCCCCCCCTCCCCCTTTTGACATGGGCTGCCACCCAGCCATTGATTTCCCCCCCCCCTTTTGACATGGGCTGCCACCCAGCCATTGATTCCTCCCCCCCCCCCCCCCCCTTTGACATGGGCTGCCTTGCATCCATTGATCCCCCCTTTTGATATGGGCTGGCTCGCATCCATTGATCCCCCCTTTTGATATAGGCTTCCTTGCATCCATTGATCCCCCCCCTCCCCCTTTTGACATGGGCTGCCACCCAGCCATTGATTCCTCCCCCCCCCCCCCCCCCCCCTTTGACATGGGCTGCCTCCCAGCCATTGATTCCCCCTCCCCTCGCTGGGTAAGCTGCCTCCCAGCCATTGATTCCCCCCCCCTTCCCCCTCGGTGTAGGCTGCCTCCCATCTATTGATTTCAAACCCCCCCCCCCTCCCCATTGGCGTACACTGCCTCTCATCCATTGATCCCCCCTCAGCTCAGGCTGCCTCCCATCTTTCGATCCCCTCGGCGTAGACTGCCTCCCACCCATTATTCCCCTGATGCAAAGGTGTCCATAAGAGGAGAAAGTTGTCCTGTGTGCTTGAGGCCAAAGCAATGTGCGGTCAGCATGGATTGCACAGTTCCTGCCACCGTCAAGTCTCTCTATGAGATCATTTTTTGCTGCTGGCTGCTTTTTTGTGTGTAATGACAGCAGTTCTTGCGATGCTCTCTCTCTCGCCCCTGCATAGTGTTGGCGGCACTGTTGTGTATTACCTACTCCAAGAAAAGGTAACCTGATGTACAGAGCCAGAGTTTGGAAAGCCACGTGTAATAACACTTTGCAGACTCTGCCCATGACTAGACTGGGAGAAAACTTCTGCCATTACAGACTGCC